AAAAGCAAAAATAAACAAATGGGACCTAATGAAACTTAAAAGCTTTTGCACAACAAAGGAAACTATAAGCAAGGTGAAAAGACAGCCCTCAGATTGGGAGAAAATAATAGCAAATGAAGCAACAGACAAAGGATTAATCTCAAAAATATACAAGCAACTCCTCCAGCTCAACTCCAGAAAAATAAATGACCCAATCAAAAAATGGGCCAAAGAACTCAACAGACATTTCTCCAAGGAAGACATACAGATGGCTAACAAACACATGAAAAGATGCTCAACATCACTCATTATCAGAGAAATGCAAATCAAAACCACAATGAGGTACCATTATACGCCAGTCAGGATGGCTGCTATCCAAAAGTCTACAAGCAATAGATGCTGGAGAGGGTGTGGAGAAAAGGGAACTCTCTTACACTGTTGGTAGGAATGCAAACTAGTACAGCCACTATGGAGAACAGTGTGGAGATTCCTTACAAAACTGGAAATAGAACTGCAATGCGACCCAGCAGTCCCACTGCTGGGCATACACACCGAGGAAACCAGAATTGAAAGAGACACATGCACCCCAATGTTCATTGTGGCACTGTTTACAATAGCTAGGACATGGAAGTAACCTAGAGGTCCATCGGCAGATGAATGGATAAGAAAGCTGTGGTACATATACACCGTGGAATATTACTCAGCTATTAAAAAGAATGCATGGATAAGAAAGCTGTGGTACATATACACCGTGGAATATTACTCAGCTATTAAAAAGAATGCATTTGAATCAGTTCTAATGAGGTACATGAAACTGGAGCCTGTTATACAGAGTGAAGTAAGTCAGAAAGAAAAATACCAATACAGTATATTAATGCATAAATATGGAATTTAGAAAGATGGTAACCATGACCCTATATGCAAGACAGCAAAAGAGACACAGATGTAAAGAAGAGACTTCTGGACTCTGTGGAAGAAGGTGAGGGTGGGATGATTTGAGAGAACAGCATTGAAACATGTATATTACCATATGTGAAACAGATCGCAAGTCCAGATTCAATGCATGAGACAGAGTGCTCAGGGCCAGTGTAGTGGGATGACCCTGAGGGATGGGATGGGAGGGAGGTAAGAAGGGGGTTCAGGATGGGGAACACATGTACACCCATGGCTGATTCATATCAATGTATGCCAAAAACCACTACAGTATTGTAAAGTAATTAGCCTCCAATTAAAATACATTAATTAATTTAAAAAAGATTCAACAACTACCTGAAGAACTGGACAATGAGAAAGTAAATCTAGATTAAAATTTCATAAGGGAATTAGTAGATTTAAAAAAGGAAAAACAGAAACACAACTTAAAGGAACATTCTCAAGAGAAAAGAACTAGATATGGTAGTATGTATTGCAATATCTTGAGATTAAATAACATTTCAGTTGACCCTGCCAGTTCATGCTATATATTCATGTTTTTTGCCAACCAAAATACCAGGGGGAAAACATATTGAAACAATCAAATACTGGTACTCTTTGCTGCCATGAAAATGCAAGAGAAAAACATCTCACTCATTTTAGCAATTTTAAATGCTAATTTTTATTTACTGCTGTGTAAAGGACATCAACACTGTGCAGTAAAACAATTACATAAATCCAATATTAAACAATAGCATATGGGATAAATCTAAAGCAGAGCACCATGTGCCTTCAAAACTGGTTAATATTATAGAATGCAACTCAGGTCAGATGATTCCTAAGAAACCTGAAGAGCTCTCTCTTTTAATATTATTAAGTTAGTTACCCACAAGCAAATACTCTTGGTTTTGCTTCATTTTCTAGAAAAAAGTAGAAGGCTTTCCAATTTTGCATTATTTAATATGATGTGTGACATCTGAACCAAGGAAACAGTTCGTATGATTCATTCCTCTTATCAATTGGTACCATCAGCTAATATAAAGCTAACAAGCTGGCTGAAAGGAAAACAGCTGAATACAATGAAATGTGCTTAAATATGGGGTTAGTTGTACATTCAATTTCGTTATTCACAACCCAAAGAAATACTCCTTTATTTTAAAGTACTACTTTAAATCAAAAGATAAAATAATCTTTAAGACAGACACAATAGAACCACTCTAACCACCCTAAATCACTTAAACACTAACATAAAACACTTTTTAAAGCCAAAATAGCAAGAAAGATAGCAGTGCAAGAATACTTCATACTGCTGAATCTTACATATTCTGAGGTACATAATGAGAAGCTGAGGGAGGGGTAGCAATATAGCCAAGTGGCCCAGGACTCATAGCACCATGAATCTGCGGAGAACCACCATACGCTGCACCAACTGGATGCCAGGGAGCAACGGAGGGATAATCTGCCACAACAGGAAGGCAGGAATCAAAACCTGGCAAAGGTGGCTGCCCATATGGATCTGACATCACTGGATAATAGACTGTTCCATGAGGGACAGATGCAGGGTCAGCATTTGGAAAAGTACCTGAAACAAAGCACACAGTACACTTCATATACAAAGATTCACTAAACATCAACGTAAATGGATGTTCTTGAGGTAAAAATGAAATTTAGCATTAACTCTAAGAAAATATCCTACAAAAAAAAAGAAAATATCCTACAATTCTAAGAGGAACACTTTAGATATGAACATTACTGACCAAAACAGGCTACTAAAATATAAAAATTTTCTAATTAAAAAAATTAAACATATATGTATATAAAATGTATCAAATGTACTCTACCTAGAGACAGCTACCTTTCTTGGATGAGTTAGGTATCAACAGACAAAATACACAAAGAAACATACTCTAGAGTCATTTTTGTCAATTAAGTTCTTAAAAGAATTGGTCACAATTATCAAATATTTTTTCTGTATGACACATATCACCCAAATAACCATTTTGTATTATTTTAGCAATTAAAAATTCAAGTGTTTTTATAGTCTGGTCTATACTTGAAGGCAAAATTCTGAAAAGCATTCCAAAAATTTAATAGTCACCTCTTGAATGTCATTAACATGTTAGCATCATTTTAATTTTATAGCACTTCTACTGCATCAGTTTCAGTGGAAATAAACAGATGCTGTTCTGCCATTATAGTGACTATATAAATTTTTTTAATGGATTCCTTTATTACTTGGGATAACTTAACTTCATTTTGTGAAATTAAGATAGGCACTGTCTCATGTTTACTACAATAAAAATAGCTCTATAAAAGGTAAGTGGAACAAAAAGGCAGTAAAAGTTGGTATTTTAATTTGTATTACCATGGAGCACATCATACCACCACATGAGGGATGAGATTTTATAGTCCTAATATTGTAAACTATAATATGCCTTGAAAAGGGAGGAGAGAAAGAAAATTCACATTCCTCACATGCAACAGGATGAGTATACTTATACATATAAATCAGACTTAGGGAGGTTAGGTAACTTAGTGGAAATCACATCCATCAAGTAGCAGTTGCTGGAATGGAAAGCAGATTTGGTTAGGTTAGTATACATTGTTCTACTTCCTGCTGATTCTAAGATGGGCAGTCCAAAGATCCTATTCTAAACCCTTCAAAATGTCTCCTGATCTATATTATACTATAAACTGACAGAAAAAGCAAGCATCCTTATGGTCTGGCACAGAGGTCTCAAACACTTTGGTCTCAGGATCCCTTTACAATCTTAAAAATTGAGGACCTCAAATAGCTTTTCCTTATGTGGGTTATATGTATCAATATTTATCCCATTAGGAATTAAACTAAGTTAAATATGTTATTTCACATAAAAATAAACCCATTATGTTAAACTCATTTTTCATAAAAATCTGTATTATTCACCCCCCCAAAAAAATTGTGAAACCAGTGGCACTGTTTTACACTTGTGTAATCTCTAATGTATGGCCTAACAGAAGACAGCTGGATTCTCATATTTGCTTCTGTATTTTATCTATTACAATATATCCACTTCAGTATTCTTGCCTGGAGAATACCACGGACAGAGGAGCCTGGTGGGCTATAGTCCATAGGGTCACAAAAAGTCGGACATGACTGAAGCAGCTTAACGCACATACACATTACAATATATTTAGTTGAAATACATGAAGAAAATCTGGCCTCATACAGATATGTAGCTGGAAAAGACAGAAGTCTTAATAATTAGCCTTTGCAGATAACTGTAGATATTTTTTGATGCTACACCAAAACTAGGTAAGTGGTGATTTGAGAGGTCAATCACAATGTAGACTATTCATACTTTGTTAACATTAAAATCTATTGTTTTTTCTTGCAGACATCTTTTACAAAATCATGCACAGGTAAGACTATACACAGTAATTGGGAAAATACTATTTCACTAAGTTATACAGATCTCCCACATGTTGACACATTTCATTATACAATGTAAAAACCCATATCATAAATAGCCCCCCATCATCTATTTTATTAAAAGAAACAATTATGTACTAGAAGCTGTAAAGCTCATGGTTATTAGATAAAAATTAGAATTTTGGATAACTTATATTTGAAAGTTGGAATTTCTATCTTTGACAAAAAAACATACTATCCATTGCCCTCCTTGAAGTGACAGGCTTAGCTGTTCATTTGAGAAAATGTCTGCCAGATCCCCAGTCTGAACAACCACAGTTTGTCTGTCATTCTGTCAAGTAAAAATAGCATTCCATGAAAGTCAGCTAGTTTAGCTCGAAACTCAAGCTCACAAATCCTTTTCTTTAAAAGTCAATTATCATACTTAGATATGTAGAGAGCTTTCTGAATACTTCCTGTTTTGTCATATACAATATTAAATACAATTTTTCAAAGATTAAAAATTTAGTAAAATAAGAGCTTCTTTGATCAAACACAAAACAAATAAAGCTGACATTTTTATATCAAGCATGTGTGAAGATGCTGATTACTAGCAGTTTGGTGCCCCTACTTTGATTTGTGCTTAGGTGTCAGCTCTTCTACCCACACTGATTTTTGCACCCTTAATGCAAATCTAACACAGCAAACGAGACAAAATCCACGTATTACAATGAATACTTTTAGCCTCATGGAGCCCTTGAAAGAGTTCCAAGGGACCCCAAGAGGTTCATGTACCATGCTTTAAAAAATGCTGGTGTAGGATGAATGGATAACAAAGTCATGGTACATATTACTCAGCCATAAAAAGGAATAGATTTGAGTTGGTTGTGAGGTGGATGAACCTAGAGCCTCTTATGCACAGTGAAGAAAGTCAGAAAGAGAAAAACAAATATAGTATATTAACGCACATATACAGAGTCTAAAAAACAGTACTGATGAACTATTCACAGAGAAGAAATGCAGATGTAGATGTAGAGAACAGACAGGTGGACACAGAGGGAGGAAGGAGAGGGTAGGACAAATTGAGAAAGTAGCACTGACATATACACACTATCATGTGTAAAACAGCTAGCTAGTGGGAAGCTGCTGTATAACATAGGGAGCTCAGCCTGGTGCTCAGTTGACAACCCAGAGGGGTGAAATGGAGGAGGGAAGGCTCAAGAGGGAGAAGACACATATATAAAATTATGACTGATCCACAGTGATGTATGGTAGAGACCACCACAACATTGTAAAGCAATTATCCTCCAATTAAAAATATATATGGGTGGTTTAGTCGCTAAGTCGTGTCCAACTCTTGCAACCCCATGGACTATAGCCTACCAGGCTCTTCTGTCCATGGGCTTCTCCAGGCAAGAATATTGGAGTGGGTTGCCATTTGCTTCTCAAAATATATATATATATATGTATGCAAAATTAAACAATAAAGCTACTGGTTAAATGAACCGAATTTAGGAAAACGTTTAAACTGAACTTCCTATTTCTACAATTTTGTTGCAATACACAGTTACATGGTTACGTAAAAAAAAAGACATGTTGGTCTATCTGAAGTCTATTATTGTTACACACAATAAAATTCAATTGTCTTTCTTGTAGAAAATTTCTCACTACACGCTTACCATTTGCTGATACTTCTGCCTGTGTGCCATCTTGTCTCTCCACCTCACTGTATAACTGAGGAATGGTTTGATCTACTAGAGGTGGCGGCTCAGTATAGACTGGATAATTCTCTGGATGAAGCTGCTGCTGTTGCATCTGTGGCACATAGACCATGGAGTGCCAGTAACTGTGGTGATAGCACTTGGGCAAGAAAGTAAAAAAAAAAAAAAACACTTTACTAATTTCTTTTCTTAAAGTAGTACCATTGTTCACTGAGAAAAAAAAAAAAGCTAGGCCATGATTTTCAGGTGAGATAACAATGACTTTTGAAATAAATGACATGATATTTAGAAAATCTATTCTCTATAGCAACTTTAAGATCTTTCGCAGCCTCTGTATTTCATATTTGGACCAGGAATTCTTTAAGGAAAGCACTCTAAGAAAATTAGAGATATACACAATGGTTTGTATACAAAGATATTTGTTATAGCATTATTTTTAAAGGCAAAAAAAAATTAACAGCCTAAATATTCAATAAGAAACTAGAGTGCATTATGACACAGACATGATGGAATACAATACAGGCAATAAAAAAAATCATGGCATCAAATTTTAAAAAGTGTTCATATTGTTTAACTTAAAAAGTTTACAAAATCACATAGCATAGTCCACATTTTATGAAATAAGCTGTAAGGAAATATATCAAAATGTACATTGATTACACAAGTGATTTCAGTTTTCTTTACACATTAGTATTTTTCTGTATGCTCCATAATGAGTGCTATTACTTTTAATATGAGAAAATATTAAAATATCTATTCTATATATGAATCTGCTTGCAATGCAGGAGATGTGGGGTCAATCTCTGTGTCAGGAAGATCCCCTGGAGAAGGAAATGGCACTCTACTCCAGAATTCTTGCCTGGGAAATCCCATGGGCAGAGGAGCCTAGCAGGCTACAGTCCATGGGGTCGCAAAAGAATATGACATGGCTTAATGACTAAACGACAATAACAACAAAATGTAGGAGACTTTACTGCACAACACAGGGAACATAGTCAATATTTTATAAATATTTATAAATGGAGCATAACCTTTAAAAATTGTGCATCACTATACTGTACATCCGTAACATATAATATGGTACAGCAACTATACTTAAAAACACTAAAAATAAATAAATAATAAAACTGCCTCTGCTTTGTTTCCACATGTCACTATAATAAACATAACTGAAGGGGCAAGCATTTTATTTCTCCAATTCTTGAAACTGCATTTAGGAAATAAGAGTTTCAAGAACAAAAATCCACTCCATTACCCTTAAATTATAAATGTGTGCCTATCGGGGAAGATAGATTCTTACCTGATATCAGACATACCTTTCAGTGATATTAAGATATTTGTCAGTATTCCCTTTCTACAACTCAGGGAAATGGTAAAAATCAGTGTTTGGCAAGTATCTATGAACACAAGTGCTTTAAAAATAATATAGCTCTTTAAATGTCTTTGACTTAGTCTAATTACTTTTCACATAAAGTACAGAAATAGCCACAAAAATGTTTTAAGTAAATAGGATAAATAATCCATTTGAGACAGAAAAACATAGTGAACGGTTAGCATATGATGTTAAACATGGAAGCCAATATATGCTAAAGTTGTACCGCATAGAAACCCCATTCACAACAATTTCACTATTTTATAAGAGAAGCTGAAGCACTAGGAGGTTAAAGTACAAAATTGGCCTGGGTCACCTTCAGAGATATAAAGACAGAAATAAACCTTTTAGGTCACTCAAAGTGTTCTTGAGTTATAAGGTTCAAGAGTCTGATTATCAAAACAGCTTACATTTTTAAGATAGCTTTTTTTAAATCAAAGAAATTTTCACAGGACTCTTACCTGTAATCCCAGATTGAAATAGTACTGCAAAACTTTTGTATCTAAAATTAAATATTTAAATTTTAGTGACTAGATGACATAAAAAATTAAAACTTACCACTTAAAGAGCTCTTCTCTTCGACTATTAATGTATATACAACAAATGTAGTCTTCCCACATCAACACTACCCTCAATCCTACCTTATAGTAAATGACCATTTACCTAATACTAAGATCATGTTCTAACCAAAGGTTTAATCAAAAATACATATTTTAATTCTACTCTTAATATTAGGCAGATGTTATAGGAATACTGCTATGCAAATAGTTAGAAAGAATGTAATAAAGGCATTTTCTTGCTTGTCTCAAGACTAAAATTTTATTTTAATACAAATCTACTACAAAAGCAATCATATTTGTCTTTGGAGTTAAGACACAGTACAAATTAATGATCTATGAATGCCAGGATCAGTGATGTCCACTAAGATAACCAGCACTGTTTAAAACAATCTACCTTGTTTTTACTTAACATGACAAACATACCACCACCACTAAAACTCCAAAAAGAGGAGGCAATGAGCAAGGTAACTCAAATTATACCCTAAGGTGATAAAATTTCTCCAGACATAGAACTTAATTAAAAATGCCTACAAATAAACAAAAACTAGATGTATGAGAGAAGAGGGAATAACCTTAGCATTTCAATTATAGCTCTAAATGCATTTTCACTGACTGACCTGGAATTTACATATATTCTTATCAGTGTAATGAGTTTCACTAACAAACTCTCAGAGAGCCCCTCCTTCTTAAGTTGAAGACTCCCAATACATACAAATGTATTTACTGCCTCTTTAAAAGAATGAGCTTGTATTCTATTATGTGGGAGTACAGTATAAAAGCCTAACGCTCAAGCTGAAGAATATGAAAAGATAACAGCAGGAAGTAAATCCACAAATGGCATGGGATTCCACCTCTTGGTATTCACATACATCCACACAAAATCTGCATACAAAACACACACCAGTATTATTCACAATAGCAAAAATGTGGTAACAACCCAAATGTCCATCAACTAATAGATAATAAAATAGTGTATCTATATATAATGGACTGTTACTCAGCTGAAAAAAAGAAGGAAATACTGACATATGTTACAACATGGATGAACCCTGAAAACACTATGCCAAGTGAAAGAAGTAAGCCTACAAAAGACCACATATTATATGACTCCAGAATAGGCAGAACCGTATATCCAGAATAGGCAAATCTAGAGATGGAAAGCAGAACAGTAGTTGCCAGGGTCAGAGAGAATGAAGACTAACTGCTAACGGGTACAGGGTTTCTTTTGGGGTTATGAAAATGTTCTGGAAATAGATAGTGGTGATGGCTGCACAAATCTGTGAATATACTAAAAAGCACTGAATTATATATACTTTACATGGATGACTTATATGGTGTATGAATTATATATCAAGCTGTTAAAAAAATGGCAGGCAAGGACTAGAAGAACTCAAAAACATCACTTTGAAATGTAATCGGGGTGGGATCATGAAAATGATAGGATTTAAATAGGAAATTAGATGGAAGAGTGGAGGGCAAAGAATGTGAGTAGGTTCACCATGTTAGCAAAGGCTTAGAAGTAGAAAACCAGGTGCATAGAGCTCTTGTAAAAGTAGGAGATAAGGTACAACTGTGGAAGAATGACCAGCAGGTTCTTGTAAAACTAAACACACCTATCTATAACCCATAAATTTCATTCCTAGGTATCTGCCCAAGGGAATTGAAAACACATGTTCACAAAGACTTTTACAAGCATATTCATAGCAGCTTTATCCATAAGAGACCCAAATTAGAAATAGCCCAGGTGTTCCTCAACAGGAGAATGGACAAACTGTGAAATACCCATACAATGAAATACTACTCAGCAATACAAACAGACTACTGATATATGAAGCAACATGGAAGAATCTCAAAAACACTGCATTGAGTTTAAGAAACCGTTCATAAAGAGTACTTATTTTATGATTATATTCACATAAAATTTTAAAACAGGTAAAACTAGGGCAGAAAAATATCAGAATAGTGACTATCTCTAAGGGGAAGTAGAGATCGGGGTGGGGAACAACTGGGAAGGGGAATGAGGGAACTTTGTGGGATAATGATGTTCTATACCTTGATAGGTATTTGGGTTATCTCATTTGTCAAAACGCAGCAAGTGTACATATAAGCTTTGCTCATTTCATTATATGTAGACATCACATCAAAAGAAAAAATAGATCCAAACTATAGTAAATGATACGTATGCTGAAGTTTTAATGGGGAAGAATGGTGTCTACAACTTACTTTGAAATCCATCTTTGAAAAGATGGATTCGGGGGAGGAGCCAAGATGGCAGAGGAATATGACGGAGAGACCACTTTCTCTCCTACAAATTCATCGAAAGAACATTTGAATGCTGAGCAAATTTCACAAAACAACTTCTGATCGCTAGCAGA